TTTGGGGGGACCCAGGAGTTCGGGGGGACCCAAAAAGCTGGGGGACCCAGGAGTTTGGGGGGGACCCAAGAGTCTGGGGGGGACCCAGGAGTTTGGGGGGACCCCCAGGTGCCCGGGGGGGGGGTGTCCTGACCTTTCTGGACCTTGTCACAGAGCAGGAAGATCTCGTCCCCCCCCCGGCAGCTCCCCGAGTTCCGGTTCACCCGGCAGATCCGCAGCTCCGCCGTGCTGGGGGCGCCTGGGGGGGACACCGGGGGACACGGGGTGACACGGGAGGTGACACGGGGTGACACGGGGTCATACAGGGTGACATGGGGTGACACGGGGTGACACGGGGTCATACAGGTGACATGGGGTGACACGGGGTCATACAGGGCCACATAGGGTGGCATGGGGTGACACAGGGTGACATGGGGGTGACAAGGGGTGGCATGGGGTGACACACGGGGTGACACGGGGTGACAGGAGGTGACACGGGGTGACACAGGGCCACATAGGGTGACATGGGGTGACAGGAGGTGACACGGGGTGACACAGGGCCACATAGGGTGACATGGGGTGACAGGAGGTGACACGGGGTGACACAGAGTGACATGAGGTGACACACGGCCACACAGGGTGACATGAGGTGGCACAGGGTCATACAGGTGACATGGGGTGACACAGGGTGACATGAGGTGACACAGGGTCATACAGGTGACATGGGGTGACACGGGGTGACATGAGGTGACATGAGGTGACACAGGGTCATACAGGTGATGTGGGGTGACATGGGTGACACAGAACCACATAGGGTGACATGGGGTCATACAGGTGACACGGGGTGACACAGGGTGACAGGAGGTGACGTGGGGTCATACAGGGTGACATGGGGTGACACGGGGTGACACAGGGCCACATAGGGTGGCATGGGGTGACACAGGGTGGCATGGAGTGACACGGGGTGACACAGGGTGGCACAGGGTGACAGGAGGTGACACGGGGTGACACAGGGCCACATAGGGTGACATGGGGTGACAGGAGGTGACACGGGGTGACACAGAGTGACATGAGGTGACACACGGCCACACAGGGTGACATGAGGTGGCACAGGGTCATACAGGTGACATGGGGTGACACAGGGTGACATGAGGTGACACAGGGTCATACAGGTGACATGGGGTGACACGGGGTGACAGGAGGTGACATGAGGTGACACAGGGTCATACAGGTGACATGGGGTGACACGGGGTGACATGAGGTGACATGAGGTGACACAGGGTCATACAGGTGATGTGGGGTGACATGGGGTGACACAGAGCCACATAGGGTGGCACGGGGTGACACAGGGTCATACAGGGTGACAGGAGGTGACACAGGGTCACACAGGGTGACACAGGGCCACATAGGGTGCCATGGGGTGACACGGGGTGACACAGGGTCATACAGGTGACATGGGGTGACACGGGGTGACAAGGGATCATACAGGATGACATGGGGTGGCACAGGGCCACATAGGGTGACATGGGGTGACACAGGATGGCATGGGGTGACATGGGGTCACGCAGGGTGACATGGGGTAACACAGGGTGATACAGGGTGATACAGGGTGGCATGGGGTGACACAGGGTGACATAAGGTGACACGGGGCCACACAGGGTGACATGGGGTCATACAGGGTGACACGGGGTCATTCAGGGTGACACAGGGTGACATGGGGTGACACGGGGTGACGCGAGGCCACACGGAGAGACCTGTAACCAGCTATAGGGTGTCTGGGGGGGCACTGGGGACACTGGGGGGGTACT